CCTACAGCAAGTGCCCACATTCAGGACAAGCCACTGAGGCCTTCATGTGTAGGTGGAATCACCAGGAACGTCATGCCTCTGAAAAAAGCTCATCTAGGCAACAGGGAAGATGGAAGGCATGACAAAGAAAGGGAGGGAATGAGAGATGGAAGGAAGGATGGCAACACAAGTAGTGTTGAGGAATATGATTTTCAGTGTGGACAGAAATGACCTTCTATGAGGTCTTTTAAGTCCAGCTGGGTGGCCTTGGCAAGTTGCCTTTGTTCTGTTGCGAGGCGCAAGCACCCTCAAGGTTGCCTGGGGCAGGACGGGGCCTCAACACCCACGTGCACTAGTCCATGAATGCACTCGAGTTCTCGGGAGGATCCAGGTACAACAACCATTTTTCTCGGCTTCACGCTATGCGTGCTTTACTGGCTCTAATAGTCTTTCTGCTCTCCTTCACAGGACAACTTCAAGCAATGACAGGTGAGTGCTGCGTGGCGTGTTGGAGGCTGCTTATCCCTTGAATGCAGGGTGGGAATGAGGACGGCTCTCTGTCCTTTGGCCCAGCCCTCCTCCTTGCTACCAAGAAACAGAGCCTGTTTCTTGCCTCATTCTCTATTCCTTGCTCTCCTTCCCTCACCTGACAGCTCTTGTTTTGCATGGCTGCTTCAACAGCAACACACAGGGCGAAGTCATGCGTGTTGTTAAGGAGTCCACCTTTCCCAAGAGCAGGTTCCCCATATGACTAGCCTCACCCTCCTCAGCTCCAATTTGTGGCAGTGTCTCCTTCCTGAAGAGCCTGCCCCCACCTAGCCACTCTGCTCACCATCCTCTTGGGCAGTGTTCTTCCTTGCAGCTACAGGCTCCTAGGAGATGGAGACCTTGATGTCCTCTTGGCCACATGGAAGCATTCTGTGGCCTCCCCTGCCAGGCTAGTAATAGCACTACCACTCCCCTAATGCCCACGTGGGAAGATTTCTGCTGAAGTCTCCACAGCTCCTCCCTATCTCTTTTGAACTCAACAACTCACAGCTGATCACTCGATGCCACCTGTGGCCTTCCAAGCCTCTCTCCATGCATCAGTTTTCCATGCTTGCAAAAGCTCATGCAACATCTTGCCTTGCAGCTGCTGAGAGCCGACGGTTAGCTCTTCTCTTGCAGAGCCTCCAGGCTACATCATGACCAAGGCTATTGGGTCCCAATTCTTGCAGATCCTCTTCCCCTCAGTTACGTGAACTCAGGCAGCAAAAGGCAAACCCAGACAAACGCCCATATCTGGAGCCTCAGTTTTGTCTGAGCCCTGTAACCTCTCTTAACTAACTGCCTTTCCCCTTTCTTTTGTAGCCCAAGTGAAAGAGGTGATGGGTAAGTGGTCTCTGCTGTCTGGGCTGCTTTGTTTTCAGAGGGGAGAGGTTCCTTCACAGAGGGACATGCTGGTGTCTGTACAACAAGACTGTTTCCACGCAGGCCAGAAGTGCAGGACCTTGGGGTCCACTCCTTCACAGAGGGACATGTTGGTGTCTGTACAACAAGACTGTTTCCACACAGGCCAGAAGTGCAGGACCTTGGGGTCCATACAGCAGGTGCTGGCACGTTTAGGTGTGGCTGGGAAACGCTGGAAAAGGCTCCGGCCTTGATGGCTCGCCCTTGAAAAAAAAATATACGTAGAGGAGAGAAGAGGGAAGGAATGACAAAGAGACAGAAGGAAGAAAATTACGGTGGAGGGAAGGAATACCATTTTCAGTGTGCACAGAAGTTAATCATTGTGAGGTCTTTTAAGGCCATCTGAGTGGCTTCGGAAATTTGTCTTTCTTCTGCTGTGAGGCACCAGCATATTCAGGCTTGCCAAGGGCAGGACTTGGCCTGAGCGCACACTTGCACTAGTCTAGGAACGAACTTGACTTCTTGGGAGGATCCCAACTAGCAGCAAAACCCTTCCCTGGGGCTTCATGTAACACATTCTCCACTGGCTGTAACAGCCTTTCTCCTCACCTTTGCAGGACAATACGAAAGGAAGATAGGTGAGTGCTGCCCGGCATGCAGGAGTCTGCTTGTCCCTAAAGTAGAAGGTGGGACTGGGGAGCGCTCTGTGTCCCTGTGCCCAGACCTCCCCCCTGCCAGACACAAACAGAGCCTGCCACTTGACTCACTCTCTGCCCCTTGCCCTCATTCCCTCACCTGCAACCACTGCTCTGGTACAGCAGCTTTAAAGGAAAGCACCAAGGGAAGTCAGGAGCTTTGTCAATATGTTCCGTCCTTCAATGTGAAAGTCCACCATTGACATTGGGAATGTCCCTGATATGTCTAGCATCACACTTCCCAGCTCCATTTCGTGGCAACGTCTCTCTCCTGAAGCGCATGATCCCACCTACCCATGCTTCTCACCATCGCCTTGGGCAATGTCCTTTTTCTAAGCTACAGCCCTCTCGAAGGTGGTTCCCTGAATCTCCCCTTGGCCACACGGAAGGATTCGTTGGCGTCTCATGCTGGCCAGGCATAGCAAGAATTCAGCCTCCTACAAAGCTGGGAAGCTCTCTGCTAAAGCCTCTCTAGCTTCTCTCTAGCTCTTGTGAACTCAGCAGCCCACAGCTGATCACTCTTTGCCAGCTGCGGCCTTCCAAGCCTCCCTTCATGCATCACTTGGCCATGCTTCCAGAAGCTCATGCAGCATCTTGCCTTGCAGCTGCTGAGACCCCAGGGTTGCCTCTTCTCCTGCAGAGCCTCCAGGCTCCATGCTTGGCCGATGCCCACAGGTTGCGATTATTTTAGATCCCTTTCCCCTCAGTAACCATGAACTAAGGCAAAGAAAAGGCAGACCTTGAGAAATGCCCAGGTCTGTATCCATGTGGGGACTGAGCCTGTCAATCTCTCTTTGCTAACTGCCTTTCCCCTTCCTTTTCTAGCCCACGTCCAAGACGAGAAGGGTAAGTGTTCTCTGCTGTCTGGGGTGTTGCCGTTCTAGAGGGAGAGGCTCCTTGGCAGAGGAACATGGTGGTTTCTGAGGAGCAAAGGTCTCTCCGTGCGGCCACAAGTGCTGTGTCCTTGGGGCCCCTGCAGCATTTAGCCATGTTCAGGCAACCCAGTAGACACTGTCCGTTGTAGCTGGAATCTGTGTAAACGACTTGCCCTTGAGACAAGCTCATCTGGGAAGGACAGAAGAGGGAAGGAATGACAGAGAGGAGAGAAGGAAGGAAGCAAATAGTGGTGGAGTAGAAGAACATGATATTCAGTGAGGACAATAGTCACCTTCTGTGAGGTCTTTTAAGTCCAGCTATGTGGCCTTAGTAATTTGTCTTTGTTCTGCAGCAAGGCACCAACACCCTGAAGGTTGCTAGGGACAGAACGTGGCCTGAGCACACACTCGCACTAGACCAGGAACACACTCGACATCTCGGGAGGCAAACCCTTTCCATGGGGCCTAATGCACTGCATCTTCCCCCACCTATAACTTACCTTCTCCTCTCCTTTGCAGAACACCATCAAGACATGGCAGGTGAGTGCTGCATGGCGCATGGGAGGCTGCTTCTCCCTAGAGTGCACGGTGGGAATGGGGAGCACTCCATGTTCCTGGGGCCAGCCTTCCTCCGTGAAAGCCAGAAAAATATCCTGCTGCTTGCCTCCCTTTCTGCCCCTTGACTTCCTTCCCTCACCTGGTGCTACTCCTCTTCCACTGGGTTCAACAGAAACACACAATGCGTAGTCACGGGATTTGTTAAGGGGTCCTGTCCTTCCAGGTGGGATACCACTCCTGCAAAGGGGAGTGTTCCCTATATGTCTAGTAATATCATCCCCAGCTTCATTTCATGGCATTGTCTCCCTTCTAACGGCCCTGCCACTTCCTGTACATGATTCTTACCATCGTCTTGGGAAATGCCCTTTCAGAAGCTACAGGTTGCTTTGGAGATAGTTCTCTTCACTGTTGGCCATACAGAAGGAGCCCATGGCCTCAGTTGCTTCGCACTCATGGCACAACCTCCACCCACCCACACAGATGGGAAGCTCCTTGCTAAAGCCTTACCAACTTCTGCCTATCTCTTGTGAACTCCGCAGCCCACACCTGATCACTTGCTGCCAGCCGTGGCCTTCCCAGCCTCTCTCCATGCATCAATTGGCCATGCTTGCCGAAGCTCAGGCAACATGGTGCCTTGCAGCTGCTGAGAGGCCATTGTTGGCTCCACTCCTGCAGAGCCTCCAGGCTCCACGCTTCCACCATGCCACTGGATACCCATTTCTGCAGGTCCCTTTCCCCTCTGTAACCATGAAGTAGGGCAAAGGAAAGGTAAACCCAGCCAAACACTCACATCAAAAGTCCAAGTTATGTCTAAACCCAGTGAACTCTCTTTGCTAATTGTCTTTTGCTTTCCTTTTGTAGCCCAGGATCAACAGGAGAAGAGTAAGTGGCCTCTGCTGTTCGGGCTATTGCTGTTCTGGAGGGAGAGGCTCCTTCCAAGAGGGACATGACAGTGTCTGGTGGACAAGAGTCTCTCCATGTGAAGCATGAATGTAGTGTCCTTGGGGTCCCTGCAGCAGGGGCCCAGATTCAGGTAAACCAAGTGGGACCTTCAGCTATGGCTGCAATCTTAGCAAATGGCTTGCCCATGAAAAAAGGTCATGTGGAAAGCAGGAAACAGACACAATAAAAGAGACGGAACCAAAGAAGGAAGTAAGGAAGGACATTACTACTGGTGGGATGGCGGAATATCATTTTCAGTGTGGAGAGAATTCACCTTGGGTGAGGTCTTTTAAGTCCAGCTGGGTGGCCTTGGAAAGTTGCCCTTGTTCTGCTGTGAGGCACCAGCACCCTCCACAGTCTAGGGGCAGGACTTGGCATCAGCACACACTTGCACTAGTCCATGAATGCACTGGACTTCTCGGGAGGATCCCTACTCCAGCAAACACCTTCCCGGGCATTTCATGCAATGCATCCTCCACTGGCTCTAACAACCTCTCTCCCTTCCTTTGCAGGACAACTTCAAAAGGAAAAAGGTAAGTGCTGCGTGCCGTGTTGGAGGCTGCTTGTCCTTGTAGTGCAGGGAGGGAAGGGAAAGCGCTCTGTGTCCCTTTGCGCAGCCCTCCTCCCTGCCAGACACAAACAGAGCGTTCAGTTTGCCTCCCTCTATGCCCCTTGCCCTCCTTCCCTCACCTGGCACCACTGCTCTGGCACAGAGGCTTCAACAGGAACGCACAGGGAGAAGTCATGGGCTTTCTTGAGGGATCCCATCCTACAAAGAGCAAGGCCAACCTTGACAAAGAGGAAGATTCCCCATGTGTCTAGCTCCACCCTCCCCAGCTCAGTTCTTACAGCAATGTCTCCCTGCGAAAGTGCCTGTGCCCACCTAAGCATGCTTCTCACCATTCTCTTGAGAAATGTTCTTCCGGGATATACAGGCATCTTAGAGTTGATTCCCTCCAGCTTCTCTTGAGCAAACAGAAGGAGCCTGGGACCTCCCTGGGCAGGGCAAGTATGGCAGGATCTTGACACTCATGCATAGCTGGGGAGCTCACCTCTAAATCCTCTCTGGCTTCTCCCTATCTCATGTGAACACAGCAATTCATAACTGATCACTCAATGCCAGCTGTGGTCTTCGCTACCTCTCTCCATGCATCAGCCGGCCATGTTTCTAGAAGCTCATGCAGCATCTTGCCTTGCTGAGACCACATGGTTGCCTCTTCTCCTGCAGAGCCGAAAGGCTCCATGCTGGACACATGCCACCGGGTCTGCATTCCGGACACATGCCACCGGGTCTCCATTCCTGCAGATCCCTTTCCCCCCACTAAGCATGACCTCAGGCAAAGCAAAGGCAGACCCAGACAAACGAAGATGTCTAAAATGCAGGTGGGACCTGAGCCCACAAATCTCTCTTTGCTAACCATCTTTCCCTTTCATTTGTAGCCCAGCTGCAAGAGGAAAATGGTAAGTGGTCTCTGCTGGCTGGGGTGGTACTCTACCACAAGAAGCAGCTCCTTGCAAGAGGAACATGCTTGGTGTTTGTTGTACAAGGCCATCTCCATGTGGGTAACGAGTACAGTGTCCTTGGGGTCTGTGTAGAAGGTGTCACTGTCCAGGAGAGAAAGAGAAAGAAAAGAAGAAGGAAGAAAGGGAGGCAGGCAGGCAGGCAGGCAGGAAGGAAGGAAGGAAGGAAGGAAGGAAATACTGGTGGGAAGGTGCAATATCATTTTCAGTGTGGACAGAATTCACCTTGCGTGAGGTTCTTTAAGTCCAGCTGGGTGGCCTTGGAAAGTTGCCCTTGTTCTGCTGTGAGGCACCAGCACCCTCAACAGTCTAGGGCAGGACTTGGCATCAACGCACACACTTGCACTAGTTCATGAATGCACTGGACTTCTCGGGAGGATCCCTACTCCAGCAAAAAGCTTTCCTGAACTTTTCATGCAACACAGCCTCCACTGGCTCTAACAACCTCTCTCCCTTCCTTTGCAGGACAACTTCAAAAGAAAAACGGTGAGTGCTGTGTGCTATGTTGAAGGCTGCGTGTCCCTATAGGTGATGGTGCAATGGGAAGCACCCTGTGTCCCAGGGCCCATAAGTCATTCCTGCAAGATGGAAACAGAGCCTTCAGTTTGCCTCTCTGTCTGCCCCTTGCTCTCCTTCCGTCACCAGTCATACTGCTCTGGCACAGCGGCTTCAACAGGAACGCACAGGGAGAAGTCATGGGCTTTCTTGAGGGATCCCATCCTACAAAGAGCAAGGCCAACCTTGACAAAGAGGAAGATTCCCCATGTGTCTAGCTCCACCCTCCCCAGCTCATTTCTTACAGCAATGTCTCCCTGCGAAAGTGCCTGTGCCCACCTAAGCATGTTTCTTACCATCCTCTTGAGAAATGCTCTTCCTGGAGTTACAGGCATCTTAGAGTTGATTCCCTGCAGCTTGCCTTCAGCACATATACGGAGCCTGGGGCCTCCCCTGGCAGGGCAAGCATGGTAGGATCTTGACCCTCATGCACAGCTGGGGAGTTTGCCTCTAAATCCTCTCTGGCTTCTCCCTATCTCATGTGAACACAGCAGTTCATAACTGATCACTCATTGCCAGCTCTGGCCTACTCTGCCTCTCTCCATGCATCAGCTGGCCACACTTCTAGAAGCTCATGCAGCATCTTGCCTTGCAGCTGCTGAGAATGCATGGTTGCCTCTTCTCCTGCAGAGCCGAAAGGCTCCATGCTGGACACATGCCACCGGGTCTCCATTCCTGCAGATCCCTTTCCCCCCACTAAGCATGACCTCAGGCAAAGCAAAGGCAGACCCAGACAAACGAAGATGTCTAAAATGCAGGTGGGACCTGAGCCCACAAATCTCTCTTTGCTAACCATCTTTCCCTTTCATTTGTAGCCCAGCTGCAAGAGGAAAATGGTAAGTGGTCTCTGCTGGCTGGGGTGGTACTCTACCACAAGAAGCAGCTCCTTGCAAGAGGAACATGCTTGGTGTTTGTTGTACAAGGCCATCTCCATGTGGGTAACGAGTACAGTGTCCTTGGGGTCTGTGTAGAAGGTGTCACTGTCCAGGAGAGAAAGAGAAAGAAAAGAAGAAGGAAGAAAGGGAGGCAGGCAGGCAGGCAGGCAGGAAGGAAGGAAGGAAGGAAGGAAGGAAGGAAGGAAGGAACTTTCCCTTTTCATTTGTAGCCCAGCTGCAAGAGGAAAATGGTAAGTGGTCTCTGCTGGCTCAGGTTTTTCATTTCTGGTAGGAGAGACTCCTTCCAAGAGGAACATGCTGGTGTAGTGTGACATGGATCTCCACATCTGGACCTTGAATGCAGTGTTCTTGGTGTCACTTCAGCAGGTGCCCATGTTCAGGAAACCGTGCTGTGGCCTTTAATTGGGGTTAAAAGCTGCGTGATGGAGCTTGCCCCTGAATAAAGTTCATGCAGGAAGGAAGGAAGAGAGGTGGGGAAGGAGACAAGGCAGGGAGGCAATGCCGGTGGGGTGGAGGAATATGATTTTCAGTGTCACCTGGTGTGAGGTCATTAAAGTCCATCTGCGTGGCTTTGGCAATGGCTTTTGTTCTGATGCAAGGTATCAGCACGCACAGGTTTGCTATGTGGTAGCTGATGGGGAGGTGTCCTTCGGCATCCATGGCCCCTATTGCAAGAGTTAGCAGAAGATCTATCTCAAGTGCTTCTTCTATAAATATTCATACTTCTGTGTTTGATTACTGTTCTCTGTGTCATTACAGACCAACTGGAGAAAGAAAACAGTAAGTGACATCTGCTTTCTGATGCTCCATAGGAAACACACAACTGCTGAGATGTCCTTTGAAAACCTGCTCAGCTCAGCAAAGTGCTCTCACCTCACTCAGTTTTTCTTGGGAAACATCATGTAATGCTAAGGAAAGTCTTTGGGCAGCAGGAGGAATTAGGCAAAAGATTCACATGGGATAAAAGCTGGACTCCAAGAAATATGGGAATGGGATAAGGAAGCAGGTTTGCAGTGAGGTATTGTCAAGTGTCTGGAAGGCTCTGGCATTTCCCCTCTCATGACAGCTGCGAGATACCTCTGCAGGCGTGAGGTCTTTGGCCTTTTTACCAGTCTGCTCGCTTTCCTACCAGGGACCATGTGCTCTTTCCTCTGTGTATTCATGGTGTGTTTAAAAAATACCTGCAAAACCAATCATGTGAGGGGCCCGCTGGCCTTTCCTCTTTGGAGGACGAGATGGGCTTGTGACATGTTTCTGACCTATAGAAAAGACATGCTACTGCAGGAGAGCATGCTCATCTGGCAGCATCATAGTCTGTGCGTGAGCTCGCTGGACCCGTGGTCTCCTGGTTAAATGCACTCAATATTCCCTTTATTTGTTTTCCGACAGAATTTCTGCAGATACAGCGACACAAAGGTAAGAAAAGAACCGATGCTGTGTCCCATCTCTTGCAGCCTGAATACAGCTCTGAAAAGCACTTTCCTCCTTCACAAGGAATGGTTCTGATGGCTTCTTAACAGCAAGGACACTTCCTGAATCCTTCTCTTATTCATTTGCTGCCGAAGAAACTTCACAAGTCAGTGTCAGACTCTCTGGGGTTTAATGTAGCATTACTGATTCTCAGAACAAAAGAGTAGTTTTAGCAAGGAGGGCCTCATTTCAGGGTGGTTTTGGAGCATCTCTACTACTGAGTGTACACATATCTGGTGCGCTTGTGTGGTACAGTCTTGGTCAATAGAAATTCTCCCCATACTCTCATGCAAAAGAATTCTGTGCTTCTGGTATTGCACAAAGAGAAGGTGTGCGCCAGAGTATGGTTCTTACCTTCTGGTCACCTCCACATGGTTGCCATGATTCAGGCTTTTAAACTCTTTACATTCCTCCCTGAAGCTACAGGGCAACTGCAAAGAAGTGTCTTTGAGTTGCTTTGCATTTGGTGCATGCCGACCTCTCCCTCAGCATGCCATAGCTGAGAGACAAAGGCATATGGGAGATATGGAACAGCGGAAGCTAGAGGTATCCTGGGCAAAGAGGCTGCCTAGGATGTGTCAGAGTGGAGAACAAGGGATGACAAGGGAACCAATGTGGGGGCACATGTAATAGAACCTTTCACAGCAGCAGCCTTTATGCTTTCCACTACATTAACTACTTCATCATTGCAGTTGATTTCACCCTGGATGCTGACACGGCTCACCCCAGACTGGAAATCTCTGATGATGGGAAGAGTGTGAAAGATACTGGCACCATCAGAAAGGTGCCCAGCAATGAGAAGAGATTTGATTCCCACATTTTTATGCTGGCAAAGGAAGGATTCACATCTGGGAAACACTACTGGGAAGTGGATGTCGGAAAGAGAAGAAGCTGGGCCTTGGGTGTTGCCCAGGAATCTGTCACTCGCAAAGGGACATTGACGCTGTCCCCTAAGAATGGCTTCTGGGTCATAGGATTTGCAGATGGGAGAGAGTATTGGGCCTACACAGATCCTTGGACCCGCCTGAGTGTGAGTGGGAAGCTGCAAAGGATTGGGATCTTCCTGCACATCTCAGCCAAGCAGCTGTCATTTTACAATGTCCATAAGAAAACAACTCTGTACACTTTCACCTTGGGAGGTGACAGCAGCCAGGAAGAGAAGCTTTTTCCTTTCTTCTCCACGGGTCCTGCTACTGCCAACCCTGATGGCGACCCTCTAAGAATAGCACAGATGTTTGATGATGAAGATGAGTGAATGGATGACTAGAGAATGCATGCTTAATGTCTGACTGAAACACAGAGCCTGAGATGACACTGCATTCTTGTCAGACGCCTGGTTTGTGTCACTAAATCAAAGTTGAAGAATTCTTTCATAGAAGAAGCTTTTGCACCATTATTTGCTAATCCTTCTGTGAGCCAGTCAGGAAGGAGAAGACCTGTATTTCAGGACCCTGGTCACTGAGCGTAGAGGACCTTCAGTTCTTCTAAACACAAACAGAAATGGAATGCAACACTGTTGTGGGTTTGGACTACGTCTATTGTCAACATGAGCATGACAAGATTTTCTGTGCCAGTCACTGAAGAGCCCAGCAAATATTCATGATGTGTTTGTGCAAATGTAGATTGCTCTCCTAGGATGGGAAAGCTCTCTGATGGGTTTACATCACACTTCCTAAGAATATCTCCCACTTCTTTTGCTCAAAGTTCAACACCCATCACAGGTTCTTCTATCTCAGATGGAAGAAGCAGGTGCCCCCCGCAGGCAGCGCACCTGACTTGACATCTGTCTTGCTTGTGAAGCTGAAAAAAACTGGTGTGAAACCCAGTCCCATCCTCCTGCTTTTGTCCAAAGTATGAATATCTTCCCCTTTCTTGAGAGCAGGAGAGAAACCGACACTTCAAAATCAAGGTAGCTAACATTTCCATGTGTAGTTAATTTGCTGTCAAACTGTCCTGCCTGTCCTGCCATTTGTGGATTCATATAGTCAGGCCAATGCCTTTTCTCTCCTTACTGAGTCCCCACTGGGCAACTCAACCAAGATCCTGGCAATACAAGGTGAACCCCAAGGGGGAATGTGAGAGGGAAACCAAGCAAGACAGAAGGAGATTTGGATACAGCCTATTTTCAGAATAGGGTCTGGCAGAATGAGCAAGTCTTTCCCTTCATCTCTTTTGGGGCCTGCTGCTGCTAGGACACCAGATCCCAATGTCAAGGCAATACCATGACCAGCACAGGAGGCACCAGACACACAGCCAGATGCCAAGATGATGGAGAATCCTGTGCGCACCCCCAGCTCCTGGCAGGTAGTGATGACAAAGTGACCAGATATCACCTCTCTCACTAACCATTCCAAATCCCACTAGTTCTGTGACATGGAAGAACCATGCTTGGAATAATGATTATTGTTATAAAAGTTTATTTTCCAGTCAGGATCAAAGAGAAGACATACACAGGTAAGACAGCAAGCAAGGAACCAAAGTCATCTGCAAGATGGACTTCAGAAAGCATTGGATTGCAAGTTCTGGTAAACTTCATTAATAAGAAATAGTGTCAAGGAAAGCTTCTATCATTAGCAAGGCTTTTGCAAGTGGTAACAAACTCTTTAACTTTTGATTCAAGGGATTTGCAGCCTGAGATATTGTCTGGCTAGCTAAGAAAGGCATTATGGTTGCACTGGTGATCTGCGCTTGGATTTGACAATCTTAAGGGTCTTTTCAACCTAAGTGCTTCTATGATTCTATAAGCAGATGGGAAGTTACAGTGCAGAGACATTAGACCAAGTGTCATGTCCTTGTCTTCTTTCAGAATTTGTTATTATACAAATCCAACTAAAATGATTTTTGGTATGTAATTTATGCAATCAGGATTTTAATTAAAAATAAATATGGTGCTTTTTTCTTTTTGCAATTGATTTCTCTATTTTTTTATTATTTTTATATTTTTTTCTTTTAAAGTTGATGAAGCCCTCGGGTTTCCTCTAATTCTTGTGCAGATGAGAAAGAGGAGCAGTGGCAAACTCCACTGACCTGAGTGAACCTCAGCAGAGTGCAGGTTCTGGTGGGCCACTGTTTCCACCCCCTGACCTGGAAACCAATGTGTGAGTCAGCACATTGATATGATCTCACTTAAACATGAAGGTGATTAGCAGCTGTATAGATTCCCGCCAGTATCTGAATCATCTGTATGAAGTTGGCTGATGTGGCACACAAACTGCTTTAAATTGACGACAACCTTTGTGCAATGGATCCCTAGTCCAAAATAGAGTTCTCTCACTCTCTGCATGTATCCTACCCTGAAATTTAGCAGGTACCCTCTTCTGAACTCAAGAGATATGTGACCTTCTTGAAACCAAGTCACAGAAACAAAGGCACTGATGAGAAGAGCAGTTTTTCCTTCTCTGTAAGACTGTAAGCTATCTTCCCAGCTTTCACAGAAATATATACTGCACCGTTTTCACAAACCTCCGTTGTGAATGGGATTGACTCTTTCTAAGCATTCTAAAAACACAGCCGATTTCTCAGCAAGGATACCAGAGGAATCTTTCAGTATCTTTCAAAATCAAACAATGTGTCTTGACCATGTGTGCTGGATCTGGCTGGGATGGAGCTCATTCACTTCATAGAAACCCATAACATGCTGTGTGTTACATTTGTGGTTGAAATTGTATTGATAACACACCAGTGTCTTGGCGGTTGCACAGCGCTGTGCTTTCTTCCACCCTCTTCCTGCCACCCCCACCACCCCCACACCTAATAGGCTGAGCAAGGGCAAGAAGTCGGGAGGGCACACAACCCGGACACCTGACCTGAATTGACCAAAGGGATATTCCATCCCACAGGATGTCATGCTCAACAATAATAAAAGCACAGGCAAAGGAGGAAGGGGGAATTTTCAGGGTTACGACATTTGTCTTCTCAAGTATCCGTTAATATATGCTGAGATGCTTGATGCCACTAGTTCAATGGACGTCTGCTTGGTGATGGGATGCAATGAATGAATTCCTTCTTTTGCTTTGCTCACACACAGTCCTTTGCTTCCCTTATTAAGCTGGTTTAATTCCAATCCACATGCTTTCTCTCACTTTATCCCTTCTGATTCTCTCCTTCCTCCCACCGGGAGAAAGGATGAAGCAGTAACTGTGTGGGGGCTTAGCTGCTGGCTGGGCTTAGCCCAAAACACCATGCAAATATCTGTGCATTGATTTAATTACATGAAAGCCAGATTTAAATGATCTACATTATTCTAGTGATTCAAAACTTCTGTGCATATTATAACAGCTCTGAGAAAAATAAATAAAAATTACCCTTTTATTACAGTAGCGATTTAGGACTTCAACGTAAAGCTTAATTTTAGATGCCTTCTCAGGGATCTGCTTGGTAAAATACCATGGGACAAAGCCCTAGAGGTAAGAGGGGCCCAAGAAAATTCGTCATTATTCAAGGATCACCTCCTCCAAGCTCAGGAGCGATGCATCCTGACCAAGAGGAAGTCAGGCAGAAACGCCTTCAACATTGCTGAATGGGAAACGTGGCTGGTACTTTATCTTTGTAGTGACCCATGAATGGTGGCAAATCCGTTTTGGGGGGTGATTAAAACAGTGGAAGTGGAGTAACTGGCAGAGCAGAAGCAAGCCCGTTTGGGCTGCCTCATTGTGGCAAGATATTGCTGCCCAGCTAGAGAACTTGCCTGTTAAAGTACATTGCTTGGATGCTCATGTGCCTAAGAATCAGTCCGCTGAAGAACACAAAAACTATCAGCAGGTGGATCGGGCTGCGAAGATTAAAGTGGCTGAGGAGGATTTGGACTGGCAACACAAAGGTGAACTGTTTCTAGCTCAGTGAGTCCATGATGCTTCAGGTCATCAGGGAAAAGATGCAACATCCAGATAGGCTCGCAACCGAGGGGTGGGTTTAACCACGGACATTATTGTACAGGTTATCCACAATTGCAAAACATGCACCACGGTCAAACAAGCCAAACAGTCATTGCATTTGTGGTATGGGGGCGGTGGTTGAAATATAAATGTGGGGAGGCTTGACAGATTGACCGTATCACACTCCCTCAAACCCACCAAGGTAAAGGCTATATGCTTACAATGGTGGAGGCAACCACCAGATGGCTGAAACATATCCTGTCCCTCATGCCACTGCCCAGAACATTATCCTGGGCCTTGAAAAGCAAGTTCTGTGGTGACACGGTACTCCAGAAAGAACAGTCAGACAATGGGATTTTAAATACAGCTTTATAAACACCTGGGCTAAAGAGCACGGTATGGAGTGGATTTATCACATCCCCTATGTTGTGGTTTTGCCTCAATTTGCAGCAAAGAACCACGCAGTTACTCTCTCACTTGTCCCCCCTCCCCTTTGGGCATGAGGAGGAGAATCAGAAGGAAAAAGGAAAAACTCTTGGGTTGGGATGAGAACAGTTAACCAGAATGTCAAAGGGAGAAGAAAACAGCAATCAACAATACTGATAAAAAGCGTATACAACGTGATTTGAGTGGCTGTTTGGGTCAGCCTCGCCAGCTTCTTGTGAAAATTAACTCTACCCCAGCTGAATCCAGGACACCCTATCATGCACCAGCCTCTGGGAAGATCGAACGATACAATGGATTGTTAAAAGCTACCCTAAAAGCAATGGGAGGTGGAACTCTCGGGAACTGGGATACTCATTTGGCACGAGCCACCTGGTTAGTCAACGCCAGGGGATGAATGAGTTGAGCTGGCCCTGCTCAGTCAGACCTTTTACATACAGTAGAAGGGGATAAAGTCCCTGTGGTGCATGAAAGGAACATGTTGGGGAAAACTTCCTGGGTTATTCCTGCTTTGGGAAAAGGCAAACCCATTCATGGGATTGTTTTCTCTCAAGGGTCTGGATGTACTTGGTGGGTGACGCTGAAGGATGGTTGTGCCCATGGTGGTAATTGGTAAGTGATCTCCTTGTCTATATCTTGACCCGTGAGCTTTTTCAACTTATCTTTTCCTCCTGTCTTTTGTGGAGGGGGAGTGAGAGGCTGGGTGGGTGAAGCTCTGGCAGCAAGCCAAGGTCAGACCACCACAGCTGCTGAAGCCCATGTTTTGACAAAGACCAACTAGAAGGAGGCACAATCCATACCAGACATGCAGCAGTGGCACGCTTCCAACAGCCCGGAGCCATCACTACCTCAGGACAAATTCAGTCTTCTCCATCACCCTCAGCTACTAAAGATGTCATGTCCTCTGGATGGGAAACACCACCTGTTTCAGACTACA